CCCCCCCCCCCCCCCTTTTTTTTTTTTATTTAACATCAGAAACCATGACGCACATACGATGCAGGAAATGCAGTATCTATTTCTTCTGCGAACTCGATCGGCATTCACAGAATATTTATTTCGGTAAGGTTAGCTCATTACGTAAGATTTTTGTTAAGAGATAACCGATAAAAATGTCACTGGAAATTTCAGGTAATGACATAATGTCTGTTAGGTTAAGGCCACGAGCTGGTATATTAGGAAATTACCTCAGTAATGCTACATTTAGATGGACTTTGTGTATCAAGGTTTGTGGCTAGTTTTCATTCAAATTCTTTGTCCTTTACGGATCTTTGTACCACTGCTAAAAACTACATCTCACTCAGTGTTGGAAACTTTTTTGTCCAGCAGGAGTATAGCTTTGATTCACGTTTTCGAAATGAAAAAAACGTGCATTTTACAGTGGTGAAAACTTTTAAGCAACAGTCTGAACAAGAGTGCGAGTTTTGTTTGAATTTAAGAATATATCCTTTCGGTTTTACTTTCGTTTTCCTATTAGAATACACTATGCATAATATATGAGTTCGTTTTATTTATAGTTTGAAGACCATTGTCTACTTTCCTTTCGTGGACGTTTACATATTTTCTGAATGTCTGAGCAGCTATTGTAAATCTATAGGAAAAGAAGTACAATTTCCAGGCACTTGTCTCACTAATGCACTTAAGTGACATGTTTGGAATGCATTGCTTGTTTTGATTTTGAATGCAGTCTATTTTGACAAAATAGTTATATATGTTTTCTTAGCAACTTTTGAAGAAATAAAGTATTAAGCCAACATGCAAACTATATATACTTTAGCAAAGGTGATAATATGTAGTTTTTAAATACTCATACGACAGAGCTATTGTCTTTAACAGTAAAGTATAAAGCATAACCATTATAAGCAAACCCTCCCTTTCGGGGTAACAGTGTCTTCTTTACCTGGAATTTTTACCAAGCGAAATGTTCAACCTTTACTCGTAAAACCCAGCTTACGTCAAATGTTAATAACACCCTTCACCTGTTTTACTATGTTAGGTATTTGGTTTGCAAAATATTCATCGTAAGTCGAAAAAGGAGACAGTTGAACTGTTGGGAAAACTGGCTTATAGACGAAGATTGTAACCTTATGCATTTTTGGAACCTTATTACTAGCGAAAAAAGAAGTTTTTGAAAAAAATATCCTTAACACTTGGATTTGCAAAAATATGTGTTTGGTTTAGTCTGTATTATAGGGTTCAGATTCTTATTAACAGCTACGATAATTATATGTGTCTGTGGTATGATATGTTTGTGGTATGATATGTCTGTGGTATGTATGTCTGTGGTATGATGTGTCTGTGGTATGATGTGTCTGTGGTATGATATGTCTGTGGTATGATGTGTCTGTGGTATGATGTGCCTGTGGTATGATGTGCCTGTGGTATGATGTGTCTGTGGTATGATGTGCCTGTGGTAGGATGTGTCTATGGTATGATGTGTCTGTGGTATGATGTGTCTGTGGTATGGTGTGTTTGTGGTATGATGTGTCTGTGGTATGATATGTCTGTGGTATGATGTGCCTGTGGTAGGATGTGTCTGTGGTATGATGTGTCTGTGGGATGATGTGTCTGTGGTATGATGTGTCTGTAGTATGATGTGTCTGTGGTATGATGTGTATGTGGTATGATGTTTCTTTGGTATGATGTGTCTGTGGTATGATGTGTCTGTGTTATGTCTGTGGTATGATGTGTCTGTCGTATGTCTGTGGTATGATGTTTCTTTGGTATGATGTGTCTGTGGTATGATGTGTCTGAGGTATGATGTGTCTGTGGTATGATGTGTCTGTGGTATGGTGTGTCTGAGGTATGATGTGTCTGTGGTATGATGTGTCTGTGTTATGTCTGTGGTATGATGTGTCTGGCGTATGTCTGTGGTATGATGTTTCTTTGGTATGATGTGTCTGTGGTATGATGTGTCTGAGGTATGATGTGTCTTTGGTATGATGTGTCTGTGGTATGATGTGTCTGAGGTATGATGTGTCTTTGGTATGATGTGTCTGTGGTATGATATGTTTGTGGTATGATGTGTCTGTGGTATGATGTGTCTGAGGTATGATGTGTCTTTGGTATGATGTGTCTGTGGTATGATGTGTCTGAGGTATGATGTGTCTGTGGTATGATGTGTCTGTGTTATGTCTGTGGTAAGATGTGTCTGTCGTATGTCTGTGGTATGATGTTTCTGTGGTATGATGTGTCTGTGGTATGATGTGTCTGAGGGATGATGTGTCTGTGGTATGATGTGTCTGTGGTATGTCTGTGGTATGATGTGTCTGTGGTATAATGTGCCTGTGGTATGATGTGTCTGTGGTATGATGTGTCTGGGGTATGATGTGTCTGTGGTATGATGTGTCTGTGGTATGTCTGTGGTATGATGTGTCTGTCGTATGTCTGTGGTATGATGTTTCTGTGGTATGATGTGTCTGTGGTATGATGTGTGTGAGGTATGATGTGTCAGTGGGATGATGTGTCTGTGGTATGATGCGTCTGTGGTATGATGTGTCTGTGGGATGATATGTCTGTGGGATGATGTGTCTGTGGTATGATATGTCTGTGGTATGACGTGTCTGTGGTATGATATGTCTGTGGTATGATGTGCCTGTGGTATGATATGTCTGTGGTATGATGTGTCTGTAGTATGATATGTCTGTGGTATGATGTGGCTGTGGTATGATATGTCTGTGGTATGATGTGTCTGTGGTATGATATGTATGCTGGTGTATTTGCCTCCTGTAATAACTAAAAATCCCATGCTGGAGGCGATGAGCACGATACCCTAATCAGTCAAATATAAACGCTGGTAAACATGTTATGTCATATACCACTTATCAACAATGATTCACGTTTTCGAAATAAAAACATGCATTTTACAGTGCTGAAAATTTTAAAGCAACAGTCTAAAAAAAGAGTACGGGTCTTGTTTGAATTTTAGAATATATTATTTTGGTTTCACTTTCGTTTTCCTGAACGAAGATCTAAATGAGGAAGTTTTATCTATAGTTTGAAGAACATGGTCTACTTTCCTTTTGTGGACGTTTACATATTTTCTGAATGTCTGAGCGGAGTGCAGCTATTGTAAATATATAGGAAATATGGAAAAGAACTACAATTTTCAGGTACATGTCCCACTAATGCAAAGTCGGGAAGCTCAAACAAGACTTCAAGGTGATGTTACGATACATCGGACACGACCAAACCTGCTTATGGTAGGAACTGGTGTCGCGGTATTGATGCTTATAGTAGAAGTCTGGATTACGGCATTTACAGTACAATCTGTCATTGCTCTTCGGGGCAGCAATGTCCGTAGCGACTCGGCAGATGTCTACGGCTACAGCTCACATCAATCATCTGTGACCTGGGAAGACTGTAACCAAACGTCACTATGTCCAGTGATAGGACGCGACTACTTTATAACACTGCTGAAGCTGGTACGTACATACATAGGAAGCAGATTATGCTTTTCCTCTGAGATGAGTCTGTAGCAAATTATTGAGAATCTGGTAAAATCAAATTTAACTATAAGCGGGTTTTTTGTGAAATTAAAGTGACCTTTGTCCGTTTGGGATGTATTTCCTTTTGTTCTGATCATTCTTCATGTCCTTTTGCGATGTAGTTTTGTGATTCTTAAGATTTTCTTGCTGCGTTTTGATACCTCAAGTCCTATTTCTAATTTTTTTTAGTTAATATTTATTTCAGGTTTACTTGATATTTCATAAAATGGTTTACTTTATACGCAGTTGTACGGTGTGAAACGGCAATATGACACTAGAGGAAACAACGAAAAACCACTGGAAAATTGGACACGCGCCATTGCTGACCATTTCACCACTTCCGACTGTAATGAGGTTCCATTGAGGTGGAGACCAGATATCTATAGTCGTCGAGAGCAAAGTGACGGATCGGTCACCATTATGGGCAATGGAATGTATGGAATGTATAACCTATTTACGTTACAAAGCCCGCATCAACGTAATATTGACAAGATCGAAATCGTACATAGAGTCCATCTGGAGACATCTTCAGGAAATCGGAACAAGGTTTTATTTGAGCGGAATATCGTCGTGTCAGCTCGGAGTCAGTCGATTTATACCAGCTCCTTCTTTGAGTTTATGTATTTGAATGAAGGAGACCGTGTTTCCCCAGCGATATCCAATACGTCCTTTATTTACGGTCTGCGAGCAGCAAACACGTGGGGAGTTTTTCAAGTCAGATAAGGCCCCAGTTTTACAATGAGTTTGATCTGATACAACAAAGCTTGAGTTAGATAAGACTTGATTGTAATACTGGGGCCATGTCGATTTGGTCTTCACCATGATGTAGTTACACAAAGTGGTCGATTTATTGTGTTTTAACACCTTTTGTTTACAATGTTTCTATAAAACAAACAAAGGATATTCTAGTAACCGTCATACAACGTTTGTCACAGAATGGTAATGCCACTATATGACATTCATAACAATTATGAATTATGATATATACACTTGTTGTGACGTCATACTTACATAACGTCATGATCCCTCCTCAGATATATGGGCTTATGAATCACATACTTTGACTGGTTAAAATAGTGACAATACAAAGTTTTTATAACCATCATCTTCGTATATGATAACGTTAACTGCCCAGTCGTCATAGTGTTTTTCATTAAAGTAATCAAATGTACAAATCACGTTGTAAGTCAATCCAGTTCGGGTAATTGTCAGATGTAAAATATCCTGCAAGTATAGTAATGTCAAAAGTTCACAAATGATGTTTTGTCTTTACTTCTTACATCAGAGTGTCGTTTTTTCTGTATTTTAATGATTGATGTATGAATGATTTCGTATCCAATAAAATCATGACATGTGTGAAACTGTTGTCGTCGTTTTTTTGGGGGGGTTTTGACGAGGGGGAAGGCATTCTTTTGCTAAAATGCTTCTAAATTGTTCTTACTATTGTAATATAATAGTTAATCAAATATCGAATGATTTTGTTTGTTAATTTTTTTCTTTATGATTAATTATTCCTAAGTAGTGTCATAAACATTTGAAATCCACCAATGTTGGCAAGCAGTTGTTAATCTAATCATAAGTACATCGTCATTCATGTAATATTCCTATTCTGAGTATTCTATAAATGACGATTAGATAATCGTGCAGTTACATAAGAGATTGTATTTAAATTGGAACAGTTTCACGGACATCTGAGACACCATTGCCTGATGATAATAAGTCAGTCATAAGTCATTCACATACACTTAAAGACATTTTTTGTAATGTGTAAGGTGATTTTTAAGCGACGGGTTATGTATAACTATTATTATTTCCTAGTCTTTGGTTACAAAAATGGATATGAATACTTGTAATCTAACCACCATTGTTTCCGCTGGCAATAAATGTGTCAAGTATGATATTTTGAATAGTGTCGTTATTGATGTACATGTAACTTTACACAGTTTTGATGCAAAGAATGATGAACTTTATTTGATACATTTATAAAACATGTTTAATCAATTTATGGTTATCACTCTTGATTGCTCGGATGGAGGCGCGCAGGAGGTCTTGATGTGAAAAGAACCCGGAGTACCCGGTTAAACCCCACGTGGTCAGGAATGTGACCAAACGTATTTTCTCATTTGGCTGGGGATTCGAACCCTAACCGTCTTGGTGAAAGCCGAATATTCTGTAATATTTGAAATTCTAATAACAAGTGACGTGTATTTGAAATAAATGTAGCTTTTTGTACATATCTATTGTAAAATGTTCATATGTTTTAGGACCAACTATATTTTGTGGCCATCATATTTTAACGTTAAGCAGAAATATGGTTCCTTTTGTAAGACCGTTGTTTTGCACCCGTTTAAAAAATATCCTGTTTAATTTTTCTTGTTTCTATTTCATGCTTTAACATTTCACAAGTTTTATAAATGACCATGCTTCTCAAATATATACAAGAAAAATATAGAACACAGTAACATTACTAAAGGAACCAAAGTAGCAACAAAACCGCAGTTCGAACTGAAAATCGATAAAACTAGGGCAAATAATGGACAAAGGAACACATGTAAAAGGAGACCCTTGAAAAAGTACGACTTAAAGAGTCCTATGTTTCATAAACGACACACACCATGTAAATCTACGTCAAATACAAGTTATGACCTGAAAACGAGAACCCGGGTAGAATTGTACAAAGAGGAAGTTCAAAGCAAGTACACTAGATTGCTCACACACAAAAAAACGACATAATATAATTTTGAGAGAATTGGATAATGAATCAGCTCTTTGGGTTATAAATATACACCATTACAATTATGGCTGCAATCTCAAATCCTGAAGTGCGCAGTCATAGAACAAAAATTGGATCAAAAGGTTTACTTATTACATAGCGATAGTGAAATAACTTAAACCAAGGATATGACATAATGTTGTGTATTTATATACCTTATGCGAAAAATTTAATTAGGAACAAACGTCAGACTTTAGACTTACATACCTTATTGTAATACACAAAATAAAGGAAGTTTTGTGAAGCTCAAAAACATTTTAATTGCACACGACATTCTTTAAGAATGCTTACATCTGATATAGATAGGACAAGGACAAACGGGTGGTTATCATTGTTTTATAATCACATTAAAAACAAATCATAGACTGACAGCAATGCAATGTAAGGCGATCACTCACCTAATTGTTATCAATTAAAATACTATCAGTTATAAGTGTAGTATCAATGAAATTCCTTAAATTGCAAAATGTTGATGGGTGTGGCATGATAATATTTATTTTATCAACTTCCAAGCAACTACCTGCTCTCCAAACCTGAACCAAGGCTTTTGAAAGTATCAAACTTGGTTGCATTAGAGACGTATAGTGTATTATACGTCTCTGGTTACATGAATCCAATTTGACAGGTTATTTTTTTCGGAAACATATCACCAGATGTTCCCTATAGCATTCATAAGTTAAACAAATATGTGGCCATGTCCCTGTATATGATCTAGTTCATACATGTCACTTGATACTGGTATCAATTATCTGTATAAATATAGGGCATGCAAACACACGAACCATTTTGATATACTTGAACAATTCAAAATGATTATCATTTCTACTAAATTAAACGTTTACTAAATAAAATGGTGATTTCATTATGAAACTGATACCAAACCTGACGTGTGTGTTTACCTTCCAGGGGTGAAGTGTTCCTTGTCGACCCACTTTACACGTCTATGTATTAATGTATTCTGTTATTAATTCTACCTAACATAACGTTGTACTTTAGAGAATATACATCTACTTTACTTACCTGTTTTACTTGCACAGAACTCATAATGCACGTAATTGATGCCTCAATATCATTCATAGTTTCATTATTATAACGTTTCCAAATAAATAAAACTAAAATTGCTAATTACAATCAAACTATACTAAATACACTGTTATTAGACATATATACGTAGGGCAGTATTTCCACTTCACTGTTGTGGTTGTATGGAGATCAAAAGGTTATAAAAGCCTGGTTAGGTTAACGCATTATTTAACAGATTATCTTTGGATCCATATACAGGCCTATTTATTTCTAAAAATAAGTACTTTTTGGAAATATGCAAGATGATAGATTTGTATTTTGTCGTTAATCACTGGGCTTTGATCAGCTTTGTCCAATCGAATCACAACGGAAACTGAAAGTGTAACTGACAGAAACAAAACATTACATAATTTCAGAAGTACAGATTGGCTGTTTTAAATTCGTTTATAAACATTTTCGTTTTTAAGTTACTTTATAATAAAATCGACAGAACCGTTTCATAGGAAGAAGAAATCAGTGGTTATTTTTCAAATCTCCTTAAATTCCTGCTGTTTATTTTTTAACTTTTTCACTTCGATAAATGAGCTTATAAGACATAACCTCATATAATATTTTCAAAAGCACATGCAATACACCGTAACTAAAATATTGTTAATATATACATTTGTTACATTGTTAAATCGTTACCCTCTGAGTCATAACAACATAAAGGAAGTCATATTATGAAAAAGTCCAGTTCAAACCGAAAGTAGGACTATGTAGCTGCATTATATCAATATGGCGGCCCCGAGAGCGAATACACTGATATGTTAGAAGCAAACCGCTTTAAACTGTCATGTAAATCTACGTCGAATGCAAGTTATGACCTAAAAAAGAAACAAGGGTAGAATTGTACAAAGAGGAATTAATATCTAAAGGAACTTTGTATCAAAACACATCAAGAATACTCACACAAAAAACGACATAATATAATTTTGAGGAAACTGTATAATGAATCAAATATTTGGGTTATAAATAAACACTATCAAACCATAACACTTATGACTGCAATCTCAAATACTTAAGTGCGCACTCATAGAAAAATATGACAGAGTAATACTGTACATGGTAACACAAGGTTTACTTATTACATAGCAAAAATGCAAAACCTTGGCGGTTAAATAAAGAGTATGACCTAATATTGTGTATAAGTATACGTTATGTGAAATATATTTTTAGAAACAAACGTCAGACTTCAAAGATTGCAATACACAAAATCAATTAAGGAAATCTTGTGAAGCTCAAAAGCATTTTTATTGCACTCGACATTCTTTAAAAATGATTACACAAGATATAAATAGGAAAAGGACGAACGGATCGTTATCATTGTTTTATAATCACATTAATTAACTTTTGCATAGACTGACACTAATGATATGACTTAATAAGGCGATCACTCATCTAATTGTTATTAATCAAAATACCATTAGTTATAAGGGTGGAACCAGTGGAATTCTTTCAACTACTCGATTTTGATGGGTGTTGTATAATAATATTTATTTTATCAACTTCCAAGCAACTAACTGCTCTCCAAACGTGAACCAGTGCTTTTGAAGGCACCAAATTATTTGGTTATATGAATTCAATTTTGCAGATATTTTTTTCGGAAACATAACACCAGGTTTTCCCTAAAAGATTCCTAAGTTAAACAAACATGTGGCCATGTCCCTGTATATGATCTAGTTCATACATGTCACTTGATACTGGTATACATTATCTGTTAAAGTATAGGGCATGCAATCACATGAACGACTTTGATATACCTGAACAATTCAAAATGATTAGAATAACTACTAAATTAAACGTTTACTAACAAAATGGTGATGTCAACATGAAACTGATACCAAATCTGACGTGTGTTTGTGTGACCTTCAGCGGCCCGGATGTTAGCGCGCGGGGGTCTTGTTGTGGGAGGAAATCGGAGTATCCGGATAAACCCACTTGGTCTGGCAGGTGACCCAATACCTTTTCACGTCCGATCGGGGAATCGAACCCCGGCCGACTTGGTGAAAGGCAAGTGCTCTATCCACTGCATCACCTGACCACCCGATTAACAAACTTATTTTTACATGTAAATATATGAAAATAATTTCATTATTATAACATTTCTTAATAAATAAGAACTTAAGCTGCCTATTACAATCAATACTATAAACAATACACTGTTACTAGACGAGTATATGTGGGACAATATGGACTAATAGTGATAAGATATCCACGTCACTGTTGTTGCTGTTGTATGGTATCTAAACACCAGGTTATAAAAGCCTGGTTAGGTTAACGCAGTATACAGGCCTATTTATTTCTAAATATCAGTACTTTTGGAAATATGCAAGATGATAGATTTGTTTTTTGTCGTTTAACACTGGGCTTTGATCAGCTTTGTCCAATCGAATCACAACGGAAACTGAAATTGAAACTGATAGAAACAAAACATTACATAATTTCCGAAGTACAGATGGGCTGTTTTTAATTCGTTCATGAAAATTTTCTTTTTTAAGTTACTTTGTAATAAAATCGACAAAACCGTTTCATAGGAAGAAGAAATCAGTGGGGTTTTTTCAAAACCCCCCTAAATTCCTGCTCTGTTATTATTTAACTTTTTTCGCTTCGATAAATGAGCCTATAAGGCAGACATAGCTTCACATAACATTTTCAAAAGCACATGCAATATACCGTAACTGAAATATTGTTATTATATACATAGTGTTACATTGTTTAAACTGCTAGGAAGCCATATTATGGAATTACCCAGTTCAAACCGAAAGTAGGACTGTACCAGCGTTCATATCAATATGGCGGCCCTCGAAAACGAATACGCTGATATGTTAGGAGCAAATCGCGACAAGCCAGCCGATCAGCGCTTTGATAAAGTATGGAAGAATGGCTTCATATTAACCGTGGTGGCCAATATACTGGCCCTGTCTAGTCTGGTGTTCCTCCATGTCTACAGCCAGGTGGTAGAGCACGGTGAACCGGACCTAGACAGTCTGTTACTGTCCGAGGATCTCTGTATCCCTTGTCAGGAGGAGACCGCCTTGTTCGACTACAGAGTGAAGACACAGTCCGGCAAACACCTGTGTTGTTACAACAACACCGACATACAGCGAGCTGTTAAACTTGTAAGTTTTCCTCGAGTTTAATATGTAACATTTATATTTTCAAAGTACACCGAAGCATACAAGTGTCATTGTAATTGTTATTGAAGTGTTGTACACGGTAGCCTCTAAGATAACTTGTAATCCCTTTACATACAGTATGTTGGGGCCCAGAGGGAACAAAGTACAGTGTGTCATTAAATCATACATTCTCCTTGATAGTAAAAAAAGTTAAAAGCTATGTAATTACTAATTAGGATATAAGGTGTCTGCAACGTTTGCACTGTGTGTTGGCGGACGCGAGTATCAGGGTCTGTCGGAACTAATAAGGGCAGTAGGTGAGCTACGTGTAGGAAATCGACACTGTTTTGTTATTATCCTGTATATAGGAATGATATTAATTATATTTAAGTAGAATTTCATATCTTAATACAACGACCGAGCTATCAAACATGGAAATTGTCCAAATATATTATGTTAGTATTTCACATACACGTACTTGTATGTATGTGTGTAAACCAAGCCTTAAGAATCGTAATCATAAGGTATTAAAAGCTGTAAACAGATTTCTTTTTTAACCAATAATTAAACAAAGTAGGGTCAAAAGGTCTCAGTTTAATACCTTACTCCGATATGTATAGACATAATCTATCTATCTAAGAGTTTATTAAAATAGAATATAGAAAAAATAATATATAAAACTTGCAATAACACGCTCATTATTCGAGAGATATCAATATTGTTATTATAAGTGGCCAGTGATCAGATTGTGTAAAACATGTCCTCTCCAAGTCAGAATGCGAAGAAATGGGAATAAATGTTAATTAAATCTGCATATCAGTAAATACGTTATAGAGTTATGCGGACAGTATAATTTGTAATATTTCAGAGTTAATCCGGCCCTTTGCCTAACCGATAACATTAATTTAATCAGTAGAAAGTGTGTATATTTATATTACAGATAAATGCAACAGTTACATGTACATGTATCTATGAGCCCGCCAATTGTCGCATATGATGTATTGCTACACATCGTTTAGACAATGACACTGAGACTTTGTTTATAATACAAAATAAACAAACCAAGAGACAGGTGTAATCTACCAACTATAGGTATATCAATCCTGACCTTGTACACTGATTTTGAACAATACTGACCTTGTACAGTGACCTTGTACAACATTGACCTTGTTCAGTGACCTTGTACAACATTGACCTTGTATAGTGAGCTTGTATCCTGCTTAGAAGCGAAGCAAAATTCGACCTATATTAATTATCATACTATTTTACAAACTACAGCAATCACTTGAATGGTTTTTATCATACAGAACACTGAAAACAGAACGATGCTTTAATTTTAAAAGATACATTTTATTTCAATTGCAAACGTTGTTGTTTGCGTCAAGGTCAAATGGTCATGTGACCAATCGGGTAGTTAGATTTTTTTAATGGCACTCGTTATTCTGGTGAATCAACATCCGGTATCGTACAAATTTCCCCGAAAATCCACTCTTCCTGGTTAATATCGGTTAAAAATATATGTGTTAGAATGAATTGGAAAACCATGAGGTTAGATTAGCTACGAGAAACCACTGTTGTGTAGGAGAAAATCACTACGCGGTAGTTACACACAAAGACATAGGACAAAGTGTGGGTGTGTTATTATAATAAACATTTGAGCTAGTTTTGATTGGAAATACAAATAATATTTGATACCTGTGAATAAAGCTTCGATTTGTTATTTCTTAAGAATTATGTGTTAAACATAATTCGTTAGAACAATATATATAATTATGATATAACATGTTTCAATATAATAGGACTCAATTACATAACTTGTTTGCAACAGAGATGTGTTTTGTAACAAAGGTTGATAATTGATAAAACATAAACAATTAGTTTCAAACGTTTTGTTGTTAATACATGTACCTTGTAACATAACTAGTTGTGCCAAAGGTGTTTTGCTAGCAACAAAACACTTAGTACTTCAATCAAGCAAACCAAGCACCTCCTGCGTTTTTTGTAATAACAAAGCATGATTATAAATATGGATTTAACGTGACACTAGTTCTTTATATCAAACAGCTGTCGTTTCTGAAAATTTCCACGTCCTAGCAAAATAAGTGACATGTGCTAGCCTGTCGATTCATGTTTAAAATTTTAAATACATTAAAATGTCAAATACCTAATAGAATAATTTTAAAATCAAAGCATGCATGTAAATATAGCCCTGTAATTGATATAATAGGATGTTTACATTACTGAAAGCCACTAAATATTATGGACACGTCATATGGAATGCGACACCTAAGCACAGTAATACTAAAACGCGTCAAGCGTCATATTGGAAAATTCCCACAAATCATAAAGAGAAAGCGAAAGAACATCCGTCGCTAACAAGACCCCCAGGAAACGTATCTTATCGCTGTCAAATGTAAATACATAATGTGTCCAGCAAGTATTGGGTTTCGTATATAACTGTAGTGCAACACGGCAATGACACTTCCTTTGACCATGAATCAGTTGGTTAGAACGATAGATTATCGATTTGATTAAAGTGTTTTGTTCAAGGTCAATACCATCAGAACCGTTCAATATATGTTCATGACTTGTTTCATACTGTTGTTTAACAAATATAAAATATTTTCAGAGACGCAATGCAGACGGAAATTGTCAGTACTACAAGACATACAAATAAAAACAATGGTGTATTTTAATGATTCATAACATATCGAACGTTGTTGGCGTTTGTGGAAAAGAGATATTTTGCCTATTTCTACTGGATGTCATATGAAAAGTACAATGTATTACTGTGGGTATAAATGACAGAGTATTGAACTTTGGTATGTTTTAGATGTTGAAGGAGGAAAGACGGTTCAATACTGAATTCAATGGTAAGTTAGCATTGTCAGTGTAGTAACAGTTTTAAATCCTAAACATTCTCGTTGACATCGCTAAAAATAGCCAACATATGTACGTGCATTACAGGTTAGGGTTTGCAGTATCCACTTCAACATTTCTCAATCCCGAGTTATATAATCAACCAAATTATGCAGACATGTGTTGATAATATTTATACTACATCGTCAAATATAACAAAATGCATTAGAATGTGTTTATCCCTGCAATGTCCCGTAGTTATTGGGTCACGAACCCTCAATCATACGAGTCGGGACATTTTCTGTCTCTCTTCTGCGCGTGATCGTTGTTCTAGAACATCTAATGACCGAGAAAGCACAGCACAGCAACTTTTTTTTTATCTATAAAGACATAACAAATATATAATTTTATCTATAAAGACATAACAAATATATAATTTTATCTATAAAGACATAACAAATATATAATTTTATCTATAAAGACATAACTAATATGTAATTGGCTTCTCTCGCTTTCTCTCGTTTTGCTCATTCAATTATGGTTATATATATATAACTTATATAATAAAAAGTGATTAAATGTCCATGTGAAGGAAGTAAATATAGAAAAAATAAAATTAACGACCGACTAAAAAACTAGCTGCTTTCACCCTTCACAGGGCTCTTCAGGTTTATTCAAAAGAGAACAACGTCGTGACGTCACAATTACATGTCATCACACTACAATAGTAACGTGACGTCACGAAGTACACAAGATTGGTGGACAATTTGGCGTAAAATTTTATTGTGGCCTGTTGAGACTCGGTTTTAATATTTTTATTAGTTGGTCTTCTTTCGTTTCTCTTAAAATAGTGTCTGATGAAAATAGTTGATACAAAGGTAATACATTAAATTTATCTCCAGCACATTCATGAATATGTTTGTTAACATGAAGATTTCGTAAAGAATCAGTTCTAGTTTGTTGTCTATGTACAGTCATACGTGTTCTGAGTTCATTACCGGTTTGACCGATGTAAAAATCACCACATTTAGAACAAACGATTGCATAAATTACATTTTTTGATTTACAATTCATATTTACCTTCACAGTAAATTTCAAACCATTCTTGAAAATAAAAGTATTACACTCGATAATCATAGGACATGTAGCACATCTTGGTGTCTTACATTTGGATACTTTTGGTGTTACACAAGAATTATCAAACTTAGAACATGTCAACATACGTTTCAAGTTTTTAGGTTGGCGTCTACAGTGTAAAATAGCATGTTTATTAAAAATGTTTCTCATACGCCTGCTACTTTGCTTTAACTCTTCACATTTGTTCTTTATCACAGGAAACATATTACAATTCCGTGGATTGAAAGTAGAAACAAAAGGAACTAACTTTGATTCATCCTTTAGTTTTTGTAGACGGGAAGTAAAGGGTCCCTTTTCAATAGCTTTCTGTATACCATGTTCTATTATCTCAGTAGGATAACATTGAGCTTTAAGGTATTGCTTTAGTTGACTTAGTCTAGCAATTTGAGCTTGTTGGTCACTGACGATAGTGACAATCCGTGAGGCAAGATTAAATGGAATATTAACTTTAGTGTGTTTACTGTGGTTAGAGTAAAAATTTAGATAATTATGTGCATCTGTAGCTTTACAATATAAATCCGTTGTAATCTTATTTGAATCTAGTTGAACTAAAACATCTAAGAAAGGTAAAGACGTTTCGCTACACTCCATCGTATAACAAATAGAAGGATGTAAAGAATTCAATAGGTTTTGAAATTCATTTAAATCCTTATCAGAAGGCCATATAACAAAACAATCGTCAAGGAACCTTAAAAAATTATTTCTGATAAATTCAGTAAAGTTTTCCCCAAACTTTGTCTCAATCTTAGAATAAAGTGTTTCCTCTAAGTATCCTAAAACTAAGGTTGCATATGTAGGGGCAACTTTAGTTCCCATTGCTGTACCCTTAATCTGTTGAAAGTATTCTTGCTCAAAATAAAATAAAAATTAAAAATAATTAAAAATTAAAAATTAAAAATAAAATAAAATAAAAATGCAGTAGTGGTCATGAATAGAGATTTCTATTATGAATGCATACATAACATGCTTAGTAATGTTGAATTTTATGCTTCGGCAAGTGACGATTTCGATGCGGAAACCCGTAGATTAATCAACGAGCTAACACGGACACATGAAGCATGCCTACATGAAAAGGAGATAGATTATCTTGTCAATTTTATGCATAAAACTAGTTATTTCTATGGTTTGCCTAAAATCCACAAAAGCTCTATTATAAGTAAAGCTATAGAAGAACAAAACTGTACATATATTGAAGTTGAAAATCCTACGGATTTGAAGTTTAGACCCATAGTAGGCGGCCCTAATAGTGCAACGCAACGTTTGAGTCATCTTGTAGACCTCATTCTTAAACCTTTATGCACAAGTGTAAACAGTTATATCAAAGATGATTTTGATTTTCTGAGCCGTTTATCTAAACAGGTCCCACATAATGCTAAACTTGTTTCTTTTGATGTTGTTAGTTTATACACTAATATACCGCATGATCTTGGTATTGAAGCTGTTAAATATTGGTTGATCAAAAAACGAGAAAAAGTTAATTCTCGTTTTAGTAATGAATTTATACTGCAAGCTCTAGACATTGTCCTCAATCGTAATTCTTTTTATTTTGAGCAAGAATACTTTCAACAGATTAAGGGTACAGCGATGGGAACTAAAGTTGCCCCTACATATGCAACCTTAGTTTTAGGATACTTAGAGGAAACACTTTATTCTAAGATTGAGACAAAGTTTGGGGAAAACTTTACTGAATTTATCAGAAATAATTTTTTAAGGTTCCTTGACGATTGTTTTGTTATATGGCCTTCTGATAAGGATTTAAATGAATTTCAAAACCTATTGAATTCTTTACATCCTTCTATTTGTTATACGATGGAGTGTAGCGAAACGTCTTTACCTTTCTTAGATGTTTTAGTTCAACTAGATTCAAATAAGATTACAACGGATTTATATTGTAAAGCTACAGATGCACATAATTATCTAAATTTTTACTCTAACCACAGTAAACACACTAAAGTTAATATTCCATTTAATCTTGCCTCACGGATTGTCACTATCGTCAGTGACCAACAAGCTCAAATTGCTAGACTAAGTCAACTAAAGCAATACCTTAAAGCTCAATGTTATCCTACTGAGATAATAGAACATGGTATACAGAAAGCTATTGAAAAGGGACCCTTTACTTCCCGTCTACAAAAACTAAAGGATGAATCAAAGTTAGTTCCTTTTGTTTCTACTTTCAATCCACGGAATTGTAATATGTTTCCTGTGATAAAGAACAAATGTGAAGAGTTAAAGCAAAGTAGCAGGCGTATGAGAAACATTTTTAATAAACATGCTATTTTACACTGTAGACGCCAACCTAAAAACTTGAAACGTATGTTGACATGTTCTAAGTTTGATAATTCTTGTGTAACACCAAAAGTATCCAAATGTAAGACACCAAGATGTGCTACATGTCCTATGATTATCGAGTGTAATACTTTTATTTTCAAGAATGGTTTGAAATTTACTGTGAAGGTAAATATGAATTGTAAATCAAAAAATGTAATTTATGCAATCGTTTGTTCTAAATGTGGTGATTTTTACATCGGTCAAACCGGTAATGAACTCAGAACACGTATGACTGTACATAGACAACAAACTAGAACTGATTCTTTACGAAATCTTCATGTTAACAAACATATTCATGAATGTGCTGGAGATAAATTTAATGTATTACCTTTGTATCAACTATTTTCATCAGACACTATTTTAAGAGAAACGAAAGAAGACCAACTAATAAAAATATTAAAACCGAGTCTCAACAGGCCACAATAAAATTTTACGCCAAATTGTCCACCAATCTTGTGTACTTCGTGACGTCACGTTACTATTGTAGTGTGATGACATGTAATTGTGACGTCACGACGTTGTTCTCTTTTGAATAAACCTGAAGAGCCCTGTGAAGGGTGAAAGCAGCTAGTTTTTTAGTCGGTCGTTAATTTTATTTTTTCTATAACTTATATATATATATATATATATAGAATAAAAATTTCTAAAAAAAAAGTGAAAAAACAAAATTTAGAAAAAAAAAATTAGAAAAAAAAAGTGATGAATGTTGAAGATCAATAGAGTGATGTCCCTTATGTAAATATGCAATATTTATGAGTTATCTCCCTTGCTGTCTTGTGTTTACATATACCTATTGAACCCAGAAGGTCACATTCCAGCACCTTGAGATATTTATAACCGCAACGTATCGTTACGTATCGTTAAACATCTCTAAGCGACGCGGGAACACAATTGACCTAGTTCAGAAATTATATAAAGTGGTGCAGAATTACGAGAGATTTACAGGAAGTTGATAAAATATCTATCGCTCGAACAGATTGACCGACTTGTATAAAAAGAAAACATATATGTTATTGCCAATTAGAATTATATATATATATATTGGTCAAAGAAGTAATATAGACGGTTAAACCTAAACTTGTCCACACTGTTGGAATTACTTCTTTGCTCTATATATATATATATATCCATGCAGAAAAAATTACCCTTACGGACGAAGAAATGATATAAAAAGAAAAAATCTCAACAACGAGTCTATATAGTTAGCCATCTTAGTATGTATATATACGTTTAATTAAATTGTAGGGAAATGTCTACTACAATGTACGAGAGCAGTGAGTTTGTAAAGAATTACCTCTGTCATCAATAGTGAAAATGAAAGCTTGTAAATTCAGCCGATATATAACAATACCGTTTCGTCACCTATTTGTATTGAGTGTGTAGGGGCTATATATATAAAAATTAAACACAAGTGCGTCATCACCGCATTCTGTAAATTATTAAATTACAATATCAGTACTTTACTGAGAATCGCCGCTTCAGTTGTGTGTTTAGTTCAAAATGAAAGCAGAATAACCAGTTTTGCGAATTGACAATGAAAACGAAAATAGCCAAATAGCGTCTCGTCATAGACTCGAGACTGTATTGATTGTTTTTATCCATAACTTACGTCATAGCCTCTTATGTTTGGTTGGGGGTTTTGTTATCACACCAGCTAAGGTCATATGAAGATAAATTTCTAGGTAGGCGATTCACACAGAAGGAAAGTCAAAAATGACAAGATATAGATCCCAAGTGTTCAAATGGGGGCAACAGATCAAAATTGCCTTTCAGTATTATCCCAATAAAAGACAGTGCAGACAACCTCTGATCCTGCTAAGGCCCAACATCAGTCGCCTCTTATCCTGCTAAGGCGCCACATCAGTCGCCTCTGATCCTGCTAAGGCCCCACATCAGTCGCATCTGATCCTGTTAAGGCCCCACATCAGTCGCCTCTGATCCTGCTTTGGCCCCACATCAGTCGCCTCTGTTCCTGCTAAGGGTCCCACATCAGTCGCCTCTGTTCCTGCTAAGGCCCCCACATCAGTCGCCTCTGATCCTGCTAAGGCCCCATTTCAGTCACCTCTGATCCTGCTAAGGCCTCACATCAGTCGCCTCTGATCCTGCTAAGACCCCACGTCAGGCGCCTCTGATCTTTCTTAGGACTCACATCAGTCCCCTTTGACCCTGCTAAGGCCCCACGTCCGTCGCCTCTGATCCTCCTAAGGCCCCACGTCAGTCCCCTCTGAGCCTGCTAAGGGCCCCCCGTCAGTCGCCTCTGGGCCTGCTTAGGGCCCCACGTCAGTCGCCTCTGAGCCTGCTAAGGCCCCACTTCAGTCGCCTCTGATCTTTCTTAGGACTCACATCAGTCGCCTCTGAGCCTGCTAAGGGCCCCACGTCAGTCGCCTCTGAGCCTGCTTAGGCCCCACATCAGTCGCCTCTGATCCTGCTAAGGCCTCACATCAGTCGCCTTTGATCCTGCTAAGGCCCCACATCAGTCGCCTCTGATCCTGTTAAGGCCCCACATCAGTCGCCTCTGATCCTGTTAAGGCCCCACATCAGTCGCCTCTGATCCTGCTAAGCCCCAACATTAGTCGCCTCTGATCCTGCTTTGGCCCCACATCAGTCGCCTCTGTTCCTGCTAAGGCCCCACATCAGTCGCCTCTGATCCTGCTAAGGCCCCACGTCAGTCGCCTCTGATCTTTCTTAGGACTCACATCAGTCGCCTCTTAGCCTGCTAAGGCCCCACGTCAGTCGCCTCTGAGCCTGCTAAGGCCCCACATCAGTCGCCTCTGAGCCTGCTAAAGCCCCCACATCAGTCGCCTCTATGACTACGAACTTATTTCCTTTTCATCTCATAGCAGAAAATGCATTACTTTTTGTATGCTTACATTTATATAAAGATATTTTCTATGGCCACTAGCCTTGTTTTATTTCTATTTCAAAAATACCACCTTGAAGTGTGTGATATCCTACAGATTGTCGTCATTATGACGTCACGATGTGTGTTAGTACACATAATATACATTGTAATAACATCCAGAAAAGGGGATGTCATCACATTATATTGTTTTATTGACAGATGGTCAGAATTACAAGCCACGCGATTTTAAGTTAGAAACTAAAGAGGATCTATCCTGGTGGAAGAGTCGGCCTTCAGCAGCTCATCTGCATCTTGATACCACAGGTAAATAAAACTGACCATGTACACTGATACCACAGGTAAATGCAACTAACCATGTACCACGATATCACAGGTAAATCAAACTAACCATGTACCACAATACCACAGGTAAATAGAACTGGCCATGTACGCTGATACCACAGGTAAATGCAACTAACCATGTACCACGATATCACAGGTGAATCAAACTAACCATGTACCACAATACCACAGGTAAATAGAACTGGCCATGTACACTGATACCACAGGTAAATAAAACTGACAATGTACACTGATACCACAGGTAAATAAAACTGACAATGTTCCCTGATATCACAGGTAAATGCAACTAACCATGTACCACGATATCACAGATAAATAGAACTGGCCATGGCCCACGAGATCTTTGGTAAATAAAACTGACCATGTACCAAGATACCACAGGTAAATGAATCTGATCATGTACCATGATACCACAGGAAGATTAACCTGGCCATGTTCCACGATATCTTAGGTAAATAACCACGATATCACAGATAAATAAAACTGACCATGTACCACGAAATCTCAATTAAATTGAACTGACCATGTACAGGTACCACGATATCTCTAGTAAATAAAACCGGTCATGTACCACCATACCACAGGTAAATAAAACTTACCATGTACGACTGTATCTCAAGAAAATCAAACTGACAATGTACCACTGTATCTCAAGTAAAAAAAAAATAAAGAAATAAAAGTGTTCAATTTGACGTTTCTGTAAATTTAATAACGGAAGTATCGGTATTTAGAAGTAGCGAAAACACATTATTTGTAATATACGGTAATATTGTAAGACATTAAACCATACAACTTTTCAATCTTCGTCTTTATTTTAGCGAGTAACCTTACGAGAATGAGATGGAGACATCATTCGGACTTCGTGACGTCTTTTGTGTCTGAGGGAATCAAGGTCATCAATGGAACAAAGATTCAGGTGTCCGATAGGGGAATGTACTTCATATACTCCACTATTTCTGTGGAGTTCAGCAAGCTGAGCAAGGGTCAACCCAACACCGGCAAAAGCTTTTACCACAATATACAGAAGAGCAACTCGAAGCTGCCAAAAACTGGGGCCACGATTCAAATGATGCGAAAGTATGGAGGGGTCCCGGACAAAGAAACAGACAAGCTCTACACCAGTTTCCTGTGTGGAGCTCTGTTTCTGAAAGATGGGGACCAGTTAGCTTCAGTATTTGACACGCCCCCACTGATTTATAAATTTCCATATGCAAACTATTTCGGAATATTTAAACTGTGAGGTACTGTTTTCAGAGAAATGTAAATCTCAATTTAAAAGTTTGTCCTGAGCTAAAACTCCGTTGTATGTAACAAACAAGATAACGCGCCGAGTAACAAGTTCAAGTTCAAGTTCTTTATTAACTTTGAGTCTTGCGACTCATCAGTGTAACACATATACATGATATATATATATATATATATACTTTCTCATAACATTGACAAATATCGAAAATACTAATAAATACACAGACGAGACAAAACACTCGGAGAGCATAACTACTTATGTTAATAAAGCTCTTCTTGAATTTGCAGCTTTAATGTATTTGGCCAATTTTGCTAATTCATTTGTGTTTTGTCCGTTAAATAACTGAATTAATTTAAACATGCTCGGTTTTTTACAATAGTACTTTTTTAAAAATTTCTCACGTAAATCAGAATAACAGGGGCATTTAAGAATAAAATGAAATTCATCTTCGACATCATCTATATCACAAGCGGTACAGATTCTTAAAAGTCGCGGAATATTTTGATAACGACCTTTCTCTACATTTAAATTATGGGCTGAAAGCCGAATTTTTGTTATTTCTTTTAAGTAACCTTTCATAAACGATTTTCTTAAATAACCCTGTATACCAACTTCCATGTATAAAAAAATCCTTTTGATGATGTTCTAATTTGTTCTATACAATCTTGTCTATAAATATCTAAAAGTCTTTCTTTAATTATAATCAAACAGCTATTATCAATGTTATCTGTTTGCCATATGTAACCTAGACCTATACTACATGACTACCTTTAGTATAAACAAGGCTACTCGTCCGGATCTGTAATTAAACTCGGCTGGCAGAAACCATGTATATCTGTGTCAAGCCTCATCAACTCAATCGTACATTGCGTCTAATAATTAAGTTGCCTGCCTTGTTACTCTGATGACTGTTAATGGCAAGGTTTTTATCCGAGAATTTACCTACACCAATAAAGCATGCGATCATTTAAAACAAACAAAAAGCAAAACAAAAAGTGAGGTCACGGTTGATATGTTGATGAGGCTGGACCTATCAATCGAGCGCTCAATATTATCCGCGGTATAATATGCGTATACACCGGTGTTCCCGTCCATCACAGTTATCTAGCTATCTAGTAACTGTGATGGAAGTAAAGGAGGTATATCGTCCAAAACTTCCGGAAGTAGAAGCTCACGAAACCGACTTCGGGGCGTTGTGATGACTTATTAGAAATACACGATATATCTAGATCCGGTCTGACCCGGTCACCACTTTATTGTGAGGCAACAACAGACGATTTAGAAACATGATAATGTTTAGTCCTGATATGATAACAAAGAAGACAAACGTCGACATAACTGCAACTGAATGTGATAATATTTTTATTTCAATTTATTTATATTTTTATGCCAAGAAAAGTTTTAAACCATTTACCCAAGCTTAGCTGCTTTGATTTTATATTGATTTATTGATTTATTTTTATTTGTTATTTTATAAATCATCGTGGCGAGAGAGAAAAAATGTTACAAGTATAACGATGTTTGAGATATCGACTGGGCTCTTTGTCAACGCTCCGTTTCATATGACACTGGCGAGGACGTTAACAAGACGATACGGCTACTGCTGTTCTTGGCATTCTGATGATAACGTACGCTACCATCTTTGGCACGCACTTCCTTTGGCGTATTCTAGCTCATGGGACGAGCACTTTTCGGTTTAACGAGTCCCATTCCGGTCTATAACAGCAGGGTGATATAAGTTGGGGTTCCGTATTAAGAACTACCGGACTGGTTGGTTGTAGGCCGGAAGTGGCACACCGGAAGTATGTTACACTTACGTCTAAGATAGCAGTCAAGATCATTTTACAGTGGCATGATACTCTGTGATCTTCAACAGTTATATTGCTTTGGAATGTTAAAACTTATTTTTATTAATTTTAAAATTAATATATTTACAGATACATTTTATGTTGCTTCCGAAAACATCACAATGTACATAACGATGAAGTGTGCCGGAACAGATGACATTTTTCCAAAGCTGGCTGATATGAATAATATAAAAAAAAAATGTATCGACACAACTACATGGTTACTATTGATAGTGAAATGTTGGCAATTCAAAAGAGATACGAAAACCGCTGAAATACTCTTGACTGCTACCTCAGATTTTTATAAAAAAAAAAAAAAAAAAAAAAANAAATTTTTTAAAAAAAAAAAAAAAAAAAAAAAAACAACAACAACATTGAATTCGGGTTGTAAAATGTATTTGTGAAAAATATGTCGTATGTGTATTTCTGTAAATTTTGATTTATTATATTGACTTTTATTCAATATTTTCATGAATAAAAATATTGATACAGTGGATTTTTTATGTGTATGTGTACTTTGTTTCTTTTGTGTTCAGCAAAAGATCTTAAACCGAGATATTATTGGAGATATTAGATAATTCACTATATAAATAAGACTTTCTACTTTCTTTAATATAGATTTTCAGAAAACTGAAAGAAAAAAAAAGTTTATTTTATATATGAGATAGCAAATTTTGTAGTACTTACAATAATTTGCTTCCATAGTGTTCACATAAACCATATTTAAGCCTGCCTGGTTAAAGATAAAATATCGATCGGTTACGCGTGTGGATGCCACAGGCAATGAAAGGAATGACCTTGACCGTTGCCATCAACATAATCCCTGACTGCAACTCATGCGCATTATTATAATCATTATTTCATCAAGTATTATAAGTTTTGCAATAATCCTCTCATTTTTTTAACTCTTAGACAAAGAATAATAAAAAAAAAAAGAGTGAATAAACTCTTCCATATAACTGCAGGATACGTAGCTCAAAGGTCCGACATTTTATATTGAAATTGAACGGTCTGAAAAGTGATAAATGTTGAAGATCAATAGAGTGATGTCCCTTATGTAAATATGCAATATTTACGAGTTATCTCCCTTGCTGTCTTGTGTTTACATATACCTATTAAACCCAGAAGGTCGCATTCCAGCACCTTGAGATATTTATAACCGCAACGTATCGTTACGTATCGTTAAACCTCTCTAAGCGACGCGGGAACACAATTGACCTAGTTCAGAAATTATATAAAGTGGTGCAGAATTACGAGAGATTTACAAGAAGTTGATAAAATATCTATCGCTCGAACAGATTGACCGACTTGTATAAAAAGAAAACATATATGTTATTGCCAATTAGAATTGAACAAAGGATTAGGCACAAGTCATTACAACTTAATATCGTTTTCTCCCGTCATACATTTTACAATTATATCAAAACAATGATAACAGGCATAGACATATAGACCTAACAGATTCACGTAGACACAAATACAAAGCATAAAAACACCGTTCGAAATCTATCGCTAGCTTTGATCAAATAAAGGACATGTCTATAAACGAAAGTATTAAGTTCCACCGAAACATCGGAACTGCCAAGCAAAAGCAACTCGAAATTTTACTCTATAGATGAGGCATTCAAATTTTGAAATATAAAACCCCTTTCAAAGAAAAAGTGAAAGGCATTCTCACATGAATAGGTAACGTCAGTATGCCCGATACGGTGCCGTACCAAAAGCTGAACACTTGTCTGGGAGTATGGTACGGTGGCTGATTTGTGCCATTTCGTTTATGTAAGGGGGGAAGGAACGATAATTGTAATTATGTCATATATATATATTATTTTTTTTTATTTTTTTTTTTATTCAATTTTTATTTTTTTATAAACAACACATTTACACACAAAGCAACAAGCATACATTACATTGACTACAATTCCCTTCACAACGGACACCTCTTTCCAAGAGACTAATTATATACTGTACACACATACACACACACAGGGGGGGGGGGGGGTTTAAAAATTTTTTTTTTTTATAATAATAATTTTTTTCTTTTTTTTTAAAAAAAATAAAAATTGAAAAAAAAAAAAAATAAATTTCCACCCCAAACCCCCCCCGGGGGGGGTTTGGGGTGGAAATTTATTTTTTTTTTTTTTCAATTTTTATTTTTTTTTTTTTTTATAATAATAATTTTTTTCTTTTTTTTTAAAAAAAAAGAAAAAAATTTAATTTATTTTAAAAAAAAAATTTCAATCCCCCCCCCCCCCCCGGGGGGGGTTTGGGGTGGAAATTTATTTTTTTTTTTTTTCAATTTTTATTTTTTTATAAACAACACATTTACACACAAAGCAACAAGCATACATTACATTGACTACAATTCCCTTCACAACGGACACCTCTTTCCAAGAGACTAATTATATACTGTACACACATACACACACACAGGGGGGGGGGGGGGGTTTAAAACTTTTTTTTTAAAAAAAAAAAAGTTCTCCCCCCCCCCCCCCCGGGGGGGGGGGGGGGGGGATTGCAAACTTTTTTTTTAGATATAATGATAATTGTTCACTTATTTTATAAGAGAAGCCATTTTTCTATTTTATTAAGCAAGGCTATATAATATATATATATATATATCATGTATCTCATCATCCATTAAAACACTTTGTGGTTTATTTGTCTCAAGACAACTTGACTCATTACCCCGTGCTTCCATCCTTGACTTTCGCTCTTGAAGGAGGCCAGGAGGCCGTAACTCTCTTTGGAAGATATATCTGCTTACAAACTTCGTCTCAATATCCCTATAGGACCTTTTATTTGTGTTTTTTTGTTTATCACAGCGTCCACTCACTACACCTCCCGAGATATTCAAGAGGGAAAGAAGCTCGCTCAGCAGTGTGGTATAACTTCTTCTTAAGTCAAAAATGTAACGTTGAGTATGAAAATAGTAGTGGTAAAAATGCCTTTTTACCACTACTGAAAATGATGAGAATATTTACCACATTATTCTTAATGTCCGCTAAATGATTTCTACATGGATAGACTTTGAAAAATAAGAATTTCATTGACATAAATATATGAGGTTACGGTATCGTATGCGTCAACAAATCGTGTAGATATTTTGATTTGTGTAGATAGATAAATACACTAAATATATGAAGATAGACTTCAAGGTTTCAATTGCATAATAATTCAATAATTATATTGAGATCACGAAACAAGTTTGACTGATTACATCTCAAAAGTACGAAATACA